TGTTTTTTAGAAGGATTTGTATGAAGTCATCAGAGCATATTAAACTGGGCTAATATCGCGGAGACAATTTGTCCTGAAATGCTAGTTTTTGGCAAGTAGGCCTCCTGGATGTTGCTCTTTTCAGAATATCCTGACAAATCCCATAATTTTACACCTTACTCTTACCATATTTGATTTCTTACTATTCCTCCGCATTTACAATTAATTAGTTCCACAACCACGACGCCGAAGTGTACGCTAGCTCCGTAGCGTCTTGTTCTGTTTAATTCATGGGTCGACCCAAATTAGATGTAATGTCGAACTTAATTGATTCAAACGTCGACCTTTTCATGTAATAAATTGAACATTTGAAGGGATTAGCTAGAGCTGGGCCTTAGATAAACGGTTGCAGTGCTTGTCATATGAGTAATATTTTATGAAAACAGGTGGTGACTTTAACTGTAAATTTTAACTTCAATTGCAAGTTAACAGTGCGGCACTGTGTAAGCAGACATTTGAAATAGGCCTAAGATACCACGAGTAAGTTCCTCCATGGTGAAATTTCTAATAACTCGCTATGTATTACAAACTGGTAAAAAATAGAATCTTGAGTTTTAATACGGATTTTTACTTCATCTGTTGAGTGTTTCAGATAAATGATGTGAAGAATATTATTGTCCATCAATCCAGGGTGGGGGAAGGGAGGAGGAGGAGTGGTACTCAACCAATATTTAACAATTATTCCGTGAGTGTGCATTGGATATGAGTTGGCTATAACCATCTCATATCCAACAAGCACGAATGGAATGATATTGTTTTATTAAATTAATTTTTTCAAACTCCAAACATCTGCTTATTACAACTGAATTTTACGAAATTTCATTTTAAATATTACAAAGTGACCAGATATTGATGTAACTTCTGATAAACCAAGAGAAAATCACATGACCTGTGCACCGTTTGCGAACTTAGTCGAATGAAAAAATTTAAAAGAGAAGCAAATCACACCACTAAAAAGAAAAATTTCTCTCATAAAGAAGGAATGCTGACCAAAAAATCTTCTAATGGTTTTGAAAGCTTACTCCTGCAAGGAGTTGTATAAAAAAAAACTTAAGCCATTCCGGAAATTTTAAAGGTATGGAAGAATTATAATTTCTTTAAATTTGTAAGGAAATTTCAAACCAAAGTTTGTGGCTTTTTTTGTCGGTGCCAGTGTAGCATTTTCCAGCATTTTTTGTATTTCGTCAGTAGAAAGCTCATGAAATCTACTTTTTTCTGCCATTTTGTCCGAGAGAAATTTTGTTTCCTTGCGAAAATTTTTTAGCCTGCCAACACTCAGCATAATCGTTTACCATATAAGGTCAAACTAAGGTATATGAGCTGATAACCGAGATCGAGTAAACCAATCAGAATGCTAGTAATGCATTATCCGAGGTTGAAAATGTAATAATTGGATAAAGATGAGCCGCTGGAGGTTTGAAACCTTGCCCCTGCTTAGGACAAAAAAATCCTAAAATACATATATACCTTGTTCAGGACAACAGGCAATGCCCTATTGATATAGTCTCACACAAAATTATATACCCTGTTTAGGACAGACAGACACAAAATTATGTACTCTGTTTATGACAGAGAGGTCAGAAACCATACCCTGTCTAGTGGCATACTCCTGTATAGACCATATAAGGGAGTACCCCCCCCCCCAGTTCATAAGTCTGCAATTGTTCTAGATCAAGTTAACCATCATATTTTTCATTGTTTTATTAATGGAAAGGGTGTAATTTGATCACAGGGGCTACTCCTGCGAATTCTTGGTGGGGTGTGCCGCCTGGTTCTCCAAATCCTCACGCCGTCCCTATTTCAGACCAAAAAATGGCATTTCTCACACCTGTTTTCAGACCTGGTCTCTGACAAATTAAGTCATCATTACTTAGATTAGAACGTCAGCAGAAATGTTTTCTTAAAATCCATTTCAATTTCGAATTTTCCTCTATCTTTTTTATTTGGAAGAAACGATTAATACGTTCATACACTTTTATTGTTCCCTTGAAAACCATACCCAATTCTGAGATCTGCGAACCTTAAGAAAATATAATTCTAAACCTTTCTTCAATAAAATGAATAAAGAAGACTTACCTTCGATGTATTCCAATGTGCTTTGGTGGTCTCTTCATCACATAAGTAGAATTTTTTCAGACAGCAGATTGTTGTTGCTCGAGATACCTATAAGTCGTAACTGTCATCAGTAGGATGCCTAAAACCACTGTATTCATAACCACTGTAACTTCCTTCACAAGATGAAGTCAAGGTTGGTCAAAGTGATCTCACAGGTTGCTGGACGAGTGACAAAAATGCTTTTTTTTGCAGAAATTCCTATGGTTGTATAAATTCACTGTCGCACTCCTAGTTAATCTTAACTACAGAATAACATATCTGCTTAATTACATGACCACTTGCGAATTTTATTGAGATGACATTATTGATAATGTCTTGTTTATTTAGTTGACCCACCATGACATATTGTTATGTGAAATGAGGTTATAAATGGTCTGGTAAGAAATGATTGCTATTTGACTGCCCCTTCCCCCACCAACTACACAACAATAAATCAACACTCTATTGTCTTTTGGCCAAGACATACATTGTAAATTTTTTTTTACAACTGGAAGCACAAGAAAAGGCAACAGCACAAGAGAAAGAAAAAGTACACTTAGAACTGATCAAAAGTGAAAATGAAATCTTATACTAACCTTTAGTAACCTTTCGGAACAGGTGGTGTGTCATGTGGTGATGGCTGTCAATTATTCCCTTTGTGGCAAAATCCTGAAAGGGGAAGATTTGCCTACTGCTGGTCTTAATTTTGAGGAAAACTTAGTTTTGAGATAATGTAGTAAAATAATGGTTCTTGGTCATGGCTTTAAAATCCCTGAAGTGTATGATATATACCGCATATCATCATAATGTCTGACGCTGATAGTAATTAATAATAACTGTTATTTTTATCATTATCATTATTATTATCATTGTTATTGTTATAAATATATTAATTCAAGGTTTAAACCTGGCCAGGGAAAGGGTTATTGAGGCCAGATAGTGATGTCAAGCTAGCTTGCTCCTAGGGACGAGAAGAGAAACTGGTGCCTGTTTTGTTCAAATACAATAAAATTATTGATCTGCATACCTTAATGGTGCCAGTACATTGTACATTTTGTCCCAAAATTTGTGGGGTTTGAGCAAGTCAAATCTCAATTAAAAGGTGTTACAGGTCAAATTTGTTCTCAGGTTAAAGATTTTTGACCTAGGCTGATTATTGATTTCGTTTGTCTACTAGGACTAGGGGACAAAGGAAATTGAGAATTAACCTACAATCCTTTTCACATTTGTTGGGATGTCCAGTTGTGATGTTTTCTGCCCTTCCAATGTTGGTTTTTGCGATTTGGCATCGCAGACTTGCAAAAAATCAACACGGGAGGGAAATGGCACAATGTTTTGTTGCAATATGCCAGGTTTCTGCACCGGTTGTCCCAACTTAATGTGACGAGGATTGTAGGTTTAATCAAAATTAACCTGAGATCAAATTTGAGCTGCAACAGAAGGTACATATTTTAGATCCCTGGAGCATTCCTCTTGGTCCACGAAGCCCAAGAAAAATTTCCACTAACATGTAGCCCAAGCCGGGAAAACATGATTATTGTTGTGTGTAGCCATGTGTAGCCTGAAGATTAAGGCAAGCATAGTAATTTTTCACTGTTAACTGTACTGAAAAGGAAGTTAGGCCATCTTTATTGCCTAGTATTGCCTAGTATTTACGTGCCTTAGTCATATAGGTTGGCGAAAAAACTCCTTCAAGCTGCAACCAGAGGAAGTTTAGGATTAAGGCTAATTATTTTATAATTATATTATACTTTTTCTTCTATAATCATTGTCATTATTATTATTATTGTCATTATTTACCCAAATGTTCTTCTCATTGCAAAACCAATGGCCGTCTATCTGCCCATGCGGCCATAAAGGTTTTGTAAGTTAATAATTCCCACAACTTAGCACGAGAATCAGGCCTCATTCCGTTCAAAGTCAAGTCTTAGAAAATAGAAAGGGTTATGTCCCACAGATCACCTTAACTCGGACGTTCCTAGAAAACTTTTGGGCACACATTATATTTACTTTTTTCTCGATCTACATCATTCTTTAGATTCAAAATAAGAATCTTTGGTATTAATTTATCTGTCCGTTCAACAAATCAGACCACGGGTAGGATTTTGTCAGACATAGGCATATTTTAGTCAGACGCTGTCCAATGACTGACTGTTATTTGCGGCTCTGAAAGGTGGATACTGATTTTCACTGCATAATCACCCAACTGTATTATGCCATTTTTAATTTTCTTTTTCTGTATTCTTCTCTCCACGCATCGTTTCATTTATTCTTCATTGCTCATAGAGTATTTACGTGACTGCACGATGCAGTTAATATTGTGTGTTCACTTGACATAATGTGACTGCACGATGCGGTAGTTATGTCAGCTCACAACTGACCTGCTCACCACTGAGTTCTTAGTAGCTCAGTGGTTAGAGCATGCGACTGGTGTATGGGAAGGTCGAGGGTTCAATTCCCGTCTGGAACTCAGAATTTTTTTCTGTGTTCTTCTCTCCACACATATCATTTCATTTATTATTTAACTTTTTTCCCTCAAAAATGCCACAGTACTGCAATAGTGAACTAGGACTTATCTGTTTAAAGAAACAAAAATTTGTTTGTGGTTGAACTCAAAGTCCTGTTTTCTCTATGATCTCGCAAGTTTTCATGGTATTGGAATCGTTTATGTATTCTACTCCTACAACGTACGTTCAGCGATTTTTTCAAGGTGTCGCTTGATTAATATTTTTAGTCTTACGTGGGGTTCTAAGGGGGTCGCAAATTAAAGACTTAGACTCGCGGCTTTTGATAACGAGCTTACAGCTATGACCATTCTATTTTTAGCTGTACTTTGACACTCATGTTCCTCATTTTAACTTCTTAACAGTTTCACGAGAACAGAAACTCCCCCAGTTGAGCTAGTGGAAGTTCCAAAGGAATACAAAGGTTTAGTGATCGGCAAATGGGGCAAAAATCTAATGGATATCAGTAACAGTACAGGAGCGGAAGTAATTAGAAGTAGAAACGGAGAAGTCTTCATTACTGAAGGTAAAGAGGAAGAAAGGGAGCAGGCAAGAATGCAAATCAAAGTAAAAATTGTAAGTAAATGAATAAGCTGAATGTAGTAAATGAACATAGCGGAATCTCCGCATGCGCGAAGCCTCCATTGCTATCGATACGAGAAAATTTTCGTTTGACGCCAGCGTAAGCTCGTCCGCCCCCCGCCCCCCGCCAGTGGCTTCATAGCTCAGTTTGTAAAGCATCGCACCGGTAATCGCGAGGTCATGGGTTCAAACCCCGTTGAAGTCCTGAATTTTTTTCAGGCTTCTTTACGCAATTGCATAAATTGCGTTCACTGCGACGATCATTTCTTCATTTTCATTTCATTTCCGCAGTTCATATATGATTTATTTCATACATCATTAACTTTAACATTATTGTTATTGTCATATAAATACGTGTTACACTTATGAATGCATCGTTTATTGCTAGGCTGGAGCGAGACTCAGAGGTCCAGGAATCAATAAGTTCGGTGTCTACATCGATGGCCTGAATCTCCCAGAGAAATGTAAACTAAAACTGGAGCAAGTGAGTCAGGAAGATCGTGTTGTCATCCCGGAATCGTATGCACAGTACCGACTGAAACCGGTCAAGGAATTTATGCAACAGGTATGTCTTTTTTCTGTCGTATACGTGGAGGAGAACTGTCGGTAACCAACGTGGAATCCAAGAACAAGCTTGAACTACTCAAACTTTAAGCTGATAGGCCAGTCAAATAAAGCAGCTTATTTTACACGCATTCGTTATAAGACAATTCTTCTTACTAGAAGTATTCTTTTAAATACAACAATAATAAGGCTAAGACGAAAGAAAAGACGAAACGGTTTTACACGTAACCAGAGCGTGAAATTCTGGGAAAGTAGCCATTGTCCAAGTGAAATTAATGCAGGCTGATATTTCTAATCATTCTTTGTCACTGAGTGAAAGAATAGAATAGAAAGATCACTTTAACTTGCACCCGGAACCTCTTGACATCTGTACATGTAAACCTCACAAAGTCGTCTGTCCCGGCATGATAATTCATTGCACCAGAGTAGATCGACTGAACACACTTATCATTAAATAAGACTGACTCTTATACTCAAACGCTCTAAAACTGTGTTTGGTAAACGAAAAATACTTGTTGTTCAACACGTCAGTGCAAATCTAGTACTAGATAATTATTGAGCACGTGATGTTAGACAATTCCAGGTGTTGCACGTTCAGATTAAACGGAATTTTTTATTTTTTGAAAAAAGAAACACAAATGTTTTCTCTTTACTCAGCTATAAAGTGTTCAATAGGGTTAGTGGTTCCTGTTTTTTATAGTTTTCAGTGTTGGGTCCTTGGAAATTAGCACTACAAGAAGCAGTTAAAAATACAACTAAAAATTACTTTAGTTGTTTATAGTTTTCTGTTTTACTCACATTCCTCAGGAAGTCAGTCCTCCAACTGATAAACCAATCTACCTATCAGGTCTTGTGAGTGATGCTTTGGAATCTCTTCAAAGGATAAAACAAGATATGACCACAAGAGAGAACCTGAAAGCCGATATGTGGTGTCATTTTGGAAAGGCCGTCGTCCGAGGACCTGACCAAGGTAATGCTCAATTTTGGCTTAACCGATACACGTATAATCTAATATCGCTTGTGAGTCCTGTAGTCCTCGTTGTCCGATCCATCAGGTGAAAATTGTCGCTACTTCTCTAGCTTGTCAATCTGTTGCGCGTTAGTTCATTGAATGCTCCTGTACTAAATAAGGGTTGTTTTCCACTGTCGCGTAAAATTTACGAGCGTAAATGAAATGGAGGCAATGTATGAAAGACCACGCGTAGGCGTAAAAGTTGAGCGAGGCTCAACTTGTACGTTCACGAGTGACTTTCTATACATTAGAGACCTTAAGATCGAGGTTGGTCATTTTACTGCAAACGACAACATATTTGGGACCTTAGATTCGCGGGTGGTAGCTCGCGGCTGCCATGTTAGTATTCATTTTATTTTAGTTGAGAAATTTTCTTCAAAATTACTTCTTTTTGAAATGGAATTAGGTAATCACTACGCAAAAAAGTTCTGAAAAGTCGTATTTCTTCTCAAACGTGGGATTGTGATGTTTTAGGGTGCAAAAAACCTTGAGGGAAATCACTTCCCTCTGGAGCGTGGTCTAGCGGTACAAACGTGAACCTCAAACCGCAAACCTGACGGCAAGGCCCTGGTCACGTGACTTCTTGACGTTCGCGGTTCACGGGAAATGCCGAAAAACCTCAATCTTAAGGTCTCCATTACCTCTATTTTACGCGCGTAAAATTTAGATGCACACGCACGTAAAATTGCGCGACTGTGGAAATGCACCTTAAGAGAGGAATTGAAGAGAGCCCACGTTTAAACCGTTGGCTTGTGAACTGATTTTGCGCTTTGCTTTATCCTTTTCCACGTCTCCATCACCTTAGGGCCTCGTATTTTTGTTTGGTGTATATGTGTGGGTGGGGGAGGGGTGGTAAGGGAGTCAGAAGGAGGGGAACGCATCATGTTAATAATAAGGAGCTTAAGCAACAATGACGGCGACGGTAAGAAAACGTTACCTAAAGAGTGACTTTGCGCTGCTTTACACTTTATTTCGCTTATTCCATCTCTTTAACTCGTCAAATGTGGGCAAATTTGTTTTCCGTCCCCCAAAAAACGTGAAATTAGGCACTTTCACCATGTAGTCGTGCAGTAACTACAAAGAAATTTACAAAAAAGCGTGATGTACGTGCAGAGGTGTTTTGCCAATCTAAACCCCTTGCTTTTTTACCGTTTTCGTTGACGTTGACTTCCCCCAGCTCTGATGTTTGCATGTTATGACTTTCTATTTTTGTGTCTTATATTATGTCATAAAATGTATGCAGAAGAAGCTGATGGAGGAAGGTGGAGTATTGATGAGGCAACAAACAAGTTTAAATCATCACTTGGAGGAAACTGCTGGAAAATAGCATTGAAATCAGGAGTGAAACTGGACGGAAAAGTTCTGGAAAGACATATCTGCGAAACAAATCCAGATGAGTACCTGGATTATGTTGCAAGATATGAGTTAGAATTTGTAACGCCCTGCAGTTATCAAGTAATGTGCAAGGTGAGGTTCAAAATTCATTTCGTCAACTATATTTCGCTATATTTGCTAATACTCTATCCTTTTTGTCATAACTGTGCTAAGGTCTATTGCCCAGATACCAAAACTCTAGGAGGTATCGTTGGTTGAGTGTACGCGTAAACGAACTAACAATTGGAATGTGCAGTTCTTATGTCAGAAAAATTTTCTATCCAAGTGGTCAACAAAATAGAAACCCGTCAATTTTAATAGTAATTTGTCGAGGCTTATTTTAACAAGTAAAGATGCCATAACAAAAATCTGAGAGGAGGTTCCTACTAGCATTAAAACACAGCTACCACCAGTTAAAAATACTATATGAGCGAAGTCTGCTTAACTATAAAAGTGACTGTTTCCCTTAATCCTCCATGGACTGCCTTGGCAGCTATGGAGGATATCAGTAGCCACTGGAGTGCTAGTTACGTTGTGACCTAAACGTAAAAGCCACAGATCTGGAACCACTAATTTTAAGAATTTTTGGAATGGTGTAAATGATCACATCAAGCTCCTCTCTCTCGAACGTTCTAATAAAAGCTAAAGTCAATTCTTATTCATAAATATTAATTGCAGATTTATCAACACTATATAATTTTTTGGCTTTGCGTCGTTTAATACTGGTATACTTAGTTTTCTCTTGCTGTCTTTCTTTTTTTACAAGTTTTTTTTCCTTTTTTTGTGTGTATGTTTTGAAACTGTGTGTGGTGTGTGGTACCTGACCCTTAATATAATCATTTATTAATAACCTAAGTAAGGCTGCCCTATCTTTTTTCCCTCGATGGTTGATATATAACAATTATTCACCAAAGTGGTGGCGGCTAGTGGTGCCATTTACTGAGCCACGAAGCGGCGAGGTTAATACCACCACTAGCCATCGATACCGAGGTGAATAATTGTTTCAGTATATACTAAAACAGTGAGATAATTGAGCACAAAAATGATGATTTTTATTTCATTTACTGTTGCCGACGTTTACAATTTTGGCGCGCAATGACCGAACGGCCGCGGCCGTCGATTTTTCTTGCCGACAAATACAACTTTTGAAGGCATTTGTTTAGCTCTTGCACGGAAATTTCTTCAAAAGGAGCTGTGATTTCTTTTTGTAATTAAAATCATTCTGTAAAAAAAATTATTAAATTTAGTTTAAGCTTATTTATGAACAACTCAACTAAATAAAGTAACGCAAGAGTTAAGCTTAATTTGCATTTTGTAAACAAAAAACTTTTTCACCGGTTTCATCGATAAATTGAAGTCAAGAAGACAAAGCTTTACCTGTTAAAACTTCCAAACCGAACTTCGCCACCTTCTTCGTGTTTTTCGGGAACAGCTTGCTTGATTATTTGTGAAATTTCTTTGTTTGTTACGGCAGCAAACCGGGAAGCCATTTTGCTCGTAACTTACGCGAGTTTAGCGTTGCTCGCTCAGAAGAACTGGAGGTGAATCAGGGAATAGTATTGGATATTAACTGATGGAGTAGCCAATCAGAGCGCGCGAAAAATACTATTTACTGTTTTAGTATATACTAAATAGATTTAGCCAGGGCTAAAACCGAAGCTCTCGATAATATTTATGGTTTGCCCAAACAAAATATAAAATCGTGTAATGCTAAAGTTACGGAAAACGGGCAACAAAAAACATGCAATTCGTTTTGCAACATTCCTGCAAAACGAGTTGAAAAGCGATGTTCCGCGTTTTACCACCCACATCAAACCTGTCTTGCAACAAATCAGGTTGTTAACAGGTTTGAACGACTGTGGTAAAACGCGCAACATCGCTATTCAAGTCGTTTTGTAGCAATGTTGCAAAACAAGTTGCATGTTTTTTGTTGCCCGTACCTTAAGCGACAGGGCAACGAGAACATGTAATAAGCAAAAAAGCAACTTTGGATGTGCAGCACACTTTGCCTTTGTTTTGCACGACTACGACGTGAAACTTCCAGAAACTCCCTAGTGACACGTTTTATGGAAAAAATGTCGGACGTGTTCTACTTCACTTGGCGGCCGCTAGCATTTCTAGTTTTCTCACCACCGCTACGAAGTTTTCATGTTGTTCTTCCAACAAAAAATGTCTCCTTTGTTTTTAGCTCTCTGTCGCTCTTTTTCTCGTTGAGCTTCGCCGGACTGTCGCCTACTTTCTCTTTCTCAATATTTCAAATTTGTGGGCATGAGCATGTAAGCTTAATACTTTAGACAACACGGATACTGAAACAATTTTGTCTTCCGCCATAATAACCTCTAGGTTCATTTGGGCTGCCATAGCTGTAGAGTTATTTAACATTGATATGCCTGTGGTGCGAATGGACGGTCGGTCGGTCGGATGTACGGTCACGTGAATACCAAAATTGGATGGGTAGATTACTACATTTTCTTAGGTATGGGACTACGCTCGTGCGCGCTTCGCGCGTTCGTGTGGAGCTCCGCAATTATGGGCAGCCTTCAAAATATGTTGAAGGCACAAATGTAATAACTGGTCACAAATGTAATAAAGGTCACAAGTGTAATAACATTTGGTCACAATTGTAATAAACATCTAAACTAAGCTAAAACAAATGAAAATCACAATGAAATCTAAAATCCCACAGAGGGCATTCTTTCCTATGCTTTTATACCACACTGTGCACGAGTAAAAATTTTTAAAAATTTAAAAATTTCAGAAGATATCACATCAAATCAAAGGTGAGCTGAATAGCTAAAATGTCACAGGAAATTGTATAGGTAAACTCCTTCCTTAGGGGATATCACGATTATGTGACTGAGTGGGAACCAAGATTGGGAGACTTTTATACACTCATGCCGAACCTAACAATATAAAGGATCCAAAAAAACGTTCTGACGACTCAACAATGGAAAGGTCATAGTCAACGGGAAATGAGTAAAGAGAGTTGGTGTAGAATTGGCCTTGAGGTTCCTTGTGAGTATCGGGCAAAGGTAAAGAGGATGAAGGTTATGTTCTCAGAATTGACGGGGACACGGAACAACTTTGCAGAAGTAAGGGGGATACAGTGAGTGAAGGTATAACCAATTAGCAAGTTTACATGTAATTCGTATGAGGGTAACCTATCGTGCTTAACCAATTCTGGTCTCCTTCGCAGCCGTCCGTCTGATGCCATCAATAAGAGCTATTTGAAGCATTTTCCGGCCTCTATCTCGCTTAAAATTAAAGGTTCCAAACTATCCGAAACTTTGCATACCTGTCGTGCTGTTCCCAAAGCTTAATAATAGCTTGCGAAGCTCGCACAAAAGACTTTCACCTTCCACTCAAGTTTCGCCTTTCGCTTTCCCCCTCCCTACTTCTTTTGGTTCTCTTCAACTTCCCGTTCTTTACGTTTTTCTTAGGCCCTTTTGACTGAATTCCCCTTTGTTTGGATATGATTTGAAAGTCATCTTTGCCCTGCACAATTCAGAATACAAAGTTATATTACCTTTAATTTATGTCTCTGAGTGAGTTACTCTTTTTAAATTGTTAAGTTGGTAATTATTACATTTGTGATCAAATAACATTTGTGACCTTTATTACATTTTTGACCAAATGTTATTACACTTGTGACCTTTATTACATTTGTGACCAGTTATTACATTTGTGCCTTCAACAGCCTTTACTCTCTCCATATTTTATATTAATTTTTTTGTTTCATGTAATTCAATGTAGGGTACAAATAAAGTTGTTGTTGTTGTTGTTAAGACACAATCGCCAGCACTACGTTACTCCTTTAACTTTGTTGGGTGTATTAAAGAATGAACAATATCCACCATTCAAAATTTTGAAGATAGAGTTCATCAACGCGAATAACAAAATGAAGGTCGAAATGTGTCGTGAGATACTATGAGTTCGATTTCTGTTTCATGGTGATGATATCTTTCATCAGCTGGAGGCCTAATCTAGTTTTTCGGAAGGTAGCTCTTCTTCTCTTTTCGATATCGCAGCTGAAAGCACAGAGTAACGAAATTTGCGTCGGTTTCTACAGTAGAACCTCGATAAGACGAACTTGAATAACTCGAACTCTCTGTTAACAATTTCTTTCGGATTTCACCCCACTTTTCAGTCATTTTCACTCGGTTAACTCGAACTCGGATAACTCGACTTCCCCGCTAAGTTGAACTGAATATGTTTTCCCTTGATCAAAATGTCACTGAAATTAACCCCGATAACTCGAAATCTTGTTCTTGTAACTTCACTCGGACAACCTCCCTTTACTTTTCTAGTTTCTCACGTTGTATAATCGGTAAATTACTTTCACAGGTGTGGGTCGCAAAAAGGAACGTCGGCAAAAAACTGGAAGATATACCAGCTCCTCCTAGTGACGTCAAGAATATTTTGAAGAAGATAGAATTCAAAGATGAAACAACACGTTCACGATGCAAGGGATGGCTGGTTCTACCATCTCGAAAGTACTTGCAAGCAGACATTTTGTTTCCTGGCTGCGCATTTGATTGTAGGCTCCATATTCGTGGGAGGATTGGTAAGATTTTCTGTTATGAATACGTTAGTGGAAGCATCACATTACAGTGGAACCTCGATTTTAACGAAGTGCCAAGGGACTGGGGAAATTCGTTCGTTAAATCGAGGGTTCGTGATATCGAACACCTCCATTTGACGAATTCTCGGGAAAACTACCAAAATGTTCGTTATATGGAGGTAGACTTAGTAATTTAGGTGGCTCGACCCAGTATTTTTATAGACACACCCTCCAACTTTGAATCTCTTATACTTAAACAAATCAATCTGTACTGTAAAGCGATTGTGACACATGGATTACACTTAGACTAAACAATATTGTGGTATTTTTGGGGGGCGATCGGAATAAATGTCACATGACAATGACGTCACAATGGTTTTAGTTATAAATAGAATTTTAGCCCTTTTCGGCATTTCCTTTTGAAATGCTTTTTGCTACGTATTCTTTGGATACATGTCTTCTGCTGTGCGAAGTTTCAAAATATCTATAAGAGGAATTTCGAGATATCTTAGAATTTCTATAAAAAGGGTATAAATTATGCATGCACTGAAGACTGGACTTAATGAAGACAAATTTGCTACTTTTTGGATATTTCCGAAGGGTTTTATCACTCACTCGTTTTGCAAATGAACCTTATACACTCTAGAAGCCGCTGAACGCAAGTACACTTTCGCAATTTAGAAAAACATGAACTTATGAATCAGGGTAAAACGCAATGCTGAGTTCTTTTTGTAATTTCTAAGGCTACTTTCACGGAAACAGCGATTAAAACAAAATTTCTCGATAGATTTTTTAAAAACTTTTTTAGTATATTAATTGATCATTGTACTATTATTAAATCCCCGAATTTCGTGTCGATTGAAAACTTCTAAAGTTGTCTAACATGGGCGGAGAAGTGAGTATGCTGCATGGTAATTTGATGTTGTGCTAAACTCGAGACAACAGGAAGTCCCAGAGCAAATACTTAGCCAGTAGAAAGTGTTTTTTTAGCAGCAGAAAAACTTCGCCCATATTTTTGTTCTGTAAATGAACACTTTGCACTAATTTATGATGCATTGGTCTCTCGTCAGACAATGCGCTTGTGGCAGACTACGCACCCAAGACAGAGGTGATACAGATATTAGCAAGATACCTATCTGACCTGACTTTAACAGATGAAGAGGGAATTGGATTTTGTCGACTACCAGAGGGGAAAATACCCCATGGATTTCATCTTATTTATAAACGGTGTTCCAAACGATCTGTGTACGAAATCAGTCCAGGCTTCACAATCATTCTTTCTAAGGAGAACTCTTGGCGAAGTGACGGGCGGAAAGAGGAATCAAGGGAATCGGTATGATGAAATTATGACCATTTCTCGACTATTCTGTTCTGAGAAAACTTAAGATAGTTGTGTCGCCGCGTTCATAAACGATTGCAAAAGAAGATTTACTGAAACACACATCTGCGTACTATTTAAGTGATTCAGGTTTACATGTACAGTGATAATTGTTATCATTGTCATCATCTTTTTTTCTGTATGTTTGTTTATGCTGGTTTTCACATCACGTCATCAAAATTTATACCAAAGAGTAATCGATCCTCCTGAATGAATTTTTACTTGCATGAAGTATTAGAGCAGCTTATAAGTAAAGTTTATGCAAATGTAAACTTCGAAACGGTTTTCGCTTTGTGATAGAGTACGCTTGAATTTCTAAGCTTTTGCGTGATACGGCATTTACATGGCGGCCGAGAGAGCTGTCATGACTGATGTCTATTTTGGGGGTTTTTGCTATCCGGTCAGTCATTGTATTAGAAATAGTAATCTGTTCAAGCGTGTTTTGACTATCTGTCACGTGAAACGTACGCAAAGTACTGTGATGGAGCAAAATTAAAGCGTTTTGACCTTTGATCGTTGTCGCCCGCACTCCGTATTACTAGTTTAGTTATTTATTCTCTGTTCTGGCAGACCGACCTACACCTTCACTGCAGAGAATGGGACGATTTGCTTGATAATGGAGACTGGAACCCGGAAATGATAGCTGAGACACTACCAAAGTTTTTTCGCTTCGTAAAGAAAGTGCAAGCAATTGTTTTGGAGGGAGAAGGTAAAATGCATTAACTATGGTTTTGAGTTGATAGTAAAATTTATACAGAAGCCTTAAAATCGATTTTATTTTGTGTTACATGACAATGTACTAGAAGTGGATTATTTAACAATTATTCCTCGAGCCCGAATGGGCTCTGAGTCAGTAGCCCATGAGGCCGAAGGCCGAATGGGCTATTGACTCAGAGGCCATGAGGGCGAGAGGAATAATTGTTTTTAGTAAAATCCAACTAGTTGGTCAAAAATGTCGAGAATAAAAAAATTTTAGCTAGTTAAAAGCTAGACTTTAATCCTTTTTTGCCGCCAAAAAGCCCGGTCTTTTAATTACTAGGGGGCTATAACATATAGCCTAGTAGTAGCTCAACCAATCAGAACGCAGCATTGATAATAGACCACCAGTTGGATTTTATTAAAAGCACATACAGCTTTTCAAGGCAAATTTTTTACTCAGGCGCTACTATTCTCAACTTCAGTTCTGACTGCTCGAAAAAACTGATACACTGTTATTAACTCACTCGAATAACGATCGTTATAAACACACCACAGCCAGACCCGTAAACACGAAAGAAAAAACTATTAAAAAAGGGACCGTGAACCCATTAAGTTTTTCATACATACTAGGTATATTGCGTGCATTCGAAAATGCCCATTTCCCCTTATCTTTTATTTATTTTTTGTTTTTTTAAAGACCAATTATGTTTGCAGTACCTTTTATCCCATGCCATACAGAATAGAGCCAATTAGAAAGCTACAAATCTGTTGCATATTCTGCGGTACGGAACGGGTAGTATTTCAGGAAAAAAATACCGGTACTGGTGATGCTTGCGGCCTCTATTTTCCCAACGAAAACAGAGACGTTTACAAAAGTCAAAACTTGTCATTGTACAAAAATTGCCAGGGGCATTATTCTTCACTTTACAGTTAACACTTAACCGAGTTTCACCTATTTTCCGGACTTCTAAGAAATCAAACTAATACCTGGCAAAACGAAATCCAACATAGTACCACGGAAAAAGAACTATAGAAATGTATAATCCGAGAGTAAAACAAATCAGTGAAGTAACCATGTGAATGCCGAGGCGAATTACATTTCGAAACAACAAGCCTAACTGAAATCCAGCAGAAACATTTTAAAGCTCTCTTTCTTTTATTCAGCTTTATCCAGGATGCAGTTAAAGTAGACACGTGAATACCAACTTTATTTATTGACAACAGGGGCACCCAACGACTTTTTTCTGTTAAGTATCTGTTCGGAGAAGTAAATATTGCCTAGGATTTTTTATAACTTGAGGACGGCTAAAAATTTCTAGATGAAGCTTACGTAATAAATTCTTTACGATTTTCTGAAGTTATTTTTTCGCATTTCACCGTCCAGGTTAAACAATTTTTCGTAAAAAAAAATAGAAACCTAAACTTTTCGGATACCAAAACGCGATGGAGAGAGGACTCAATAAAATTCTCACTTTCGTAATACGTTATATTACATCTAACATTTTTGGGAAAATACTATTGAAGCCCTTGTAATTTCGAAAAGACTCAAGTTCCCCTAGAATAACCGAACAGGTACCAATTTTATAGGGCCTCTCTGAATTCATTTCTAGAGATCTAAAAGTACTCTGGATAGCCTGTATGTAGGAGGAAAGCGTCGTTGGGTGCCCCTTTGACAAACTGTCGATAATTTGGGCAATGCTGTTTACAGATGACGTCAAGGTCGACGTTTCTCCGTTTTATGTGTTCGTGTTGAGTGGCTTGGGATAAATCAGTTACGTGATGCTTTCGAGTGGTATACCGTAAAATACCCTACGAGTTGCTTGATAAGTCTAAGTATATACACGATCCTTTCGGTTTCTGTGAGAATGTTCTGGGGCTTTTTGAAGCATGTGTTCAAAAATTCGGTTTGATATATATTTTTGTATGTTTTTCTCTCTAAGCTATATTTTTAGACCACCGTAAGTTTGAAAACTGTAAAAGGTTGCTCTTTCTTTAAATAAAGTTATCTGATTGTATTGCATTGTATTGTATTGACAACATAATGTTAATGACTTATTTAATTCTTACCCTGATAACTTTATATACAATTTCTCATTGAGGTTGCTGTTACTTGTTAGGATCGAGAGCTACTGGTTTTTCCAGTTGATCTACTGTTAAGTGTTACTCTCGTTAAATGAACTAAGGACATTGAGCAAAATTTAACGTTTCTTGGCTTTTTATGTTTTTGTTTTTTTGGTTGCAGTGCCTCCCGAAATACTTGCGCGGGGTCTTGCAGCCGTGGAAGCCTACAACAAGGCCCTTTTAAGTGGAAAAACCGTTCTCAAAAGGCTTCCGTTAATGCTTATTGGTCAGGACCAAGCAGGAAAGACCAGTTTAAAGAAATCTTTGAGAGGAATGGCTTTCGATCCGGAGGAAGACAGCACTGATGGAATACATGTGGATCCTTCTTTCTTCAACGTGTGCACAGAGACATGGAGGACTGGAGAACAGAATGAAGGGCAAAATTCAGATAAAGAGATTTCTTTTGATTATCAAACGGCACTACGTATTGTAGATAGTCTGAAAAAGGAAAGGAAAAGTACCAAAGTACACACAGTCACAGAGAAGGAGTCAAGTCTGTTCGATTCTGATAGTGCTAACGTAGAACCGGACACGCGAAACACTAAGTCATCAACAGTAGGAGAAAACCCTCAGAAATCTAGATATCCACCCCCTACCACTAGTATTAACATACCCAGTGTTGCCCTTGATCCGAAAGAATCAAAGCCCGTAGGGAACTTTTCAGCTGTAGATGTTCCTGATGAGGTGGCATCTGTGGCTGAAACATTACTCCAAAGTGCCAGGAAGGATAATGAAGATGACGTTTATTCAACTTTCTGGGATTTCGCTGGTCAGTCTGTTTACTATGTGACACATCCACTATTCCTTACGAAGAAAGCCATATACTTCTTGGTGTACGATCTGAGCTTAAATCCACACGATGAAGCTAAGCCTTTGGTGAAGAGTGGAGTATACAAGAAGACTCTGGAAAGCTTCAGTAGTCTAAAGACCAATTTAGATTATCTGGAGTTTTGGATGAAGTCCGTTGCGTCTCTAGCCAGTCAGGGGGAATGTCTGAGCTCGGAATTGCTACCAGAGAAGCTTCCTCCAGTTTTCTTGGTATGCACTCACGCTGATACACCTTACTGCGGCCGTGATTCCAAAGACCTTACCATCGAAATCTTTGGTTTACTGAAAAATAAACCATTCGGTTGCCACCTGCATGACGTGCCGTTCTTTGTAGATAACACACGTTTGCGAAACAACAATTCTGAGTGCTCACAAGTCCAGCTCTTGCGGAAGGAATTAGTTTCCGTCGCCAAAGAGCTACCGCTAACTCACGACACCATTCCAATCAAATGGCTAAAATTTGAGAAGGCGCTTCAAGTAGCAAAGAAAAGAGGACACAAGTACATTACTCTGGAGACAGCAAAAGACATTGCAAAAGCCTGTGATATTGATGAAGACAAAGAGATCAAGACCCTGATGGACTATTTGCACGACCTAAGGAGTTTAATCCATTTTGACGACAACGCAGACCTGAATAAGTTGGTGGTTTTAGATCCTCAGTGGTTGGTTGACGTGTTTAAGACAGTGATAACTGTCAAACCGTATGATCCGTATGATCGTAAAGAAAAGAAGGTCGTAAGCTTATGGTGTAAGCTTGAGAAGGAAGGAATCCTAGATGAAACGCTTTTGGCACATGTGTGGGGCCCCTTGTTTGACAACCACGACGAAGAAACATATCAGATTCTTATAGAAATCATGATGAAATTTAGTTTGCTGTGCCCATGGCCTTCAGGTGGTAAAAACAAGAGTTATCTTGTCCCATCAATGCTGAGATCACATCCACCAGAGGAGGTTCTTGGGCTGGTTAAGAAGGCAAAAGTTCCTCCTCTTTTTGTCAAATTTTTAAACGGCCAGGTACCTCCAGATTTGTTTCCTCGTCTAGTTGTGCAGTTCTGTCAGTGGGTAAAAGACGAATGCAAGGTATTAGAACAGCCTCAGTTGTTCCACGAGTTTGCACGACTTATTACATCTAAAGATGGCGACTCGGTTATCCTTATGTGCCACTCCTCAGTCGTTGAAGTTGTAGTTCTTGGAGATGATGACAGTCACAAATTGGCAGAACGTCTGTCAGCAAACATGACATTATCAACAGACTTCCAGGTTGAAACCACTAAGTTAATCTGTCCTAGTGATGTTCACAGGCGACTAGTTTCGATACTTGAACGCATGCACAAGGAATCTCGCTGGCAACGAGATATGAGTTACGAAATCAGTTTCCTATGTCCAGTCTGCTCTCCTGAAGGTGTTGTTAACTACTGTCAAAATCATGGCACTGAAAAATGCAAAGAAGAAGAGTGTCTGCACTTCCTGTGTGAATCAGAGCTGCGCAATGCCAAAGAAATAAAAGTTTGCCACAAGGCTTCGTTTGCTCCGAATCTTAGAGTGCAAGTGAAGCTGTTTGAACCTTGGTTTGCTTCTTCAACAGAGCAGGTATGTAAATAGCGTAAGACATGTTTCGATCTTACCAAGGACCATCTTCAGCTACAAATGAAGGTTGCCGAATTAATGTTACTTAACACGAACGACCAGAAAACCGGATAACCGCGTCAGTTCAGGAACGGTACAATTTATAATTAAAGCTGTGTTTATAACACAATCGTCTTCGCTAACTCTAATGCTAGGCAAATTCGTGAGTCTCGTGGACACTTTTTCAAGCGTATTGACAACTTTCTATCTCTTTTAGTTTCTGTTTATCATTTGAAATCTGTTTTTGTACGGACTCATGAACATTGTAATTATCCCCATGTTTAACGCTGCAGTAAACATTCCGAACGTGAGCAGTAATGATACTGTTGAGCAGGCCGGAAGTAACGTTTCCGCAACAGAATTAAAGAACGCCATTTTTTTAGCTTTGGAATCAGTGGGAACATAACACAGATTTGCTCTTACGTTCAGGCCATTGAAATGGAAAACAAAAATAATTAGGAACTAACAACTATCTGTGATTATAGTTACCGAAATCATTGTTTTCTTTCAGGGTTCGCGCCACCCCAGATCAGATGGCCCAACAAAAGAAGCGGGACTCCGAAGTATTCCAGAAGATTGTGCGACAGAGTTAAACATCACTCTGTTGGCGAGTGAGTGGGGTTCATCCATGGGTGGCTTGTCAACGATAAACAGAAAGCTTGGAGTTTTGCTAGCCAAGCAACCTCAAGTCAATGTCACTGTCCTTGTTCCGCAAACCGCTTGTTCTGAAGAGGATAAGAAGAGCGCGTCACAGTCAAATGTTACTATTCAGGAGGCAAAGATGCGTACAGGCTATGATGATCCCCTAGACTGGTTGTGCTCTCCACCAAGTAGCCTTTCAATTGATGTCATTGTGGGCCATGGTGCTAAGCTGGGCAAACAAGCCCAATTTATTACCGAGTCTCATAGATGTAAGTGGGTGCAGATGGTGCACACTGCACCTGAAGAACTTGGAATGTACAAGGAGTATCCTGAGGCAGTTGCTAAAGGCGAAAAGAAGAATAAAGTTGAAGTAGATTTGTGCAAACTGGCAGATCTTGTTGTTGCTGTTGGGGCTAAGTTAAGGGATGCCTATTCATCCTATCTTAGGTCCTGTGAGAAATCCCAAGATATCATTCAACTGACTCCGGGCACCTTCGATGAATTCAAAGCAGTAAAGCAAGCCGCCCAGGAAGGGGAAAAGTTTAAGGTTTTAACCTTTGGCCGCGGCGATCCTGAAGACTTCGAACTCAAGGGATACGACATTGCTCCGACAGCACTAGCTAAACTAGAGGACAACTCCTATTGTTTGGTTTTTGTTGGTACACCCAAAGGGAAACAGGATGAAGTCAAGGAACGTTTGCTCGAGTCTGGAATCCCTAAAGATCAGCTTATTGTGAGGGAGTTCATTCAAAGTAAAGAAGGGTTGAAAGAACTGTTTTGTGAGGTTGACCTTGCCATCATGCCTTCCAGAACAGAGGGCTTTGGATTGACAGGTCTTGAAGCATTGTCCGCTGGTCTTCCCATTCTAGTAAGTGGCAATTCAGGATTCGGACATGCACTGCGTGCTCTTCCACAGGGGCATTCATACGTTGTGGAATCCAAAAACCCTAATGACTGGTCAAAGGCAATAGCTTCTGTTCGTCAAAAAGAAAGAGCAAAGCGTCTTCAAGATATCCAATCCTTGCGAACAAGTTATGAAGAGAGGTACAATTGGGAGGAACAGTGTACATCTCTTATTGAGAAACTGTGGAGTTTGACTAAAGGTGAGCTTTCACACTATTTATTTCACTAACTGTTTAGAAAGAAATGAACGGTTGAACGTAATGGGAATTTTTCTCAGGTTTACAGCAACAAAGGCACTTTTCAAACATACCTTAGTAAGATAAAGGGGTCAAACGGCCAATTGTTGTTGCTGGAAATATCTATAAGTCGTCTAGCCGTTTCTAGTTAACGAAGGTTGATTATTCTGGTATCATCTCACGCATTTTGGTTATCTGTGGCTTACGTACGTGTACCTTGTGCATTGGGGGGTAATCGATACAAAATGGGATCACTCTCCATATATGTGTATAGTGTACACTACATATATTTTGCGTTCTGCCGTTTAGTTCGTGTGCACTACAGTACACAGAAACCTTAACCGCTATAGCACTCAGAATTGTACGCTTAAGTACTCGGAGAAGGGAAAGAGCGGTACATTGTTGTATGTTGACGTTTGTGAGTTCCAAACGGTGCATCATAAAAATCGGAGAAACGAAAATTGACGAAATGACGTTAAAACTGACTAGAAGACAAGAGACGGTTATGAAGCAAAGGAAAAGCAGTTTTACCTCTATAAATTAAGTGGTAATGATGATTTAGTGCTTTTTAGACCAATGCTTTGCTCATTGAAACCGCAATGAAGGAGATTCACGGAGGTGATTACAACTGGAGTCACCAATGACGCCGTATTTGCCTGTGATAATGCAAGCATAATCATTTTTTCCAACATATGGGATAAATTTTCAAGATGGACAAACTAAAAGACGTCATTGAAAAGACATATGATATTTTCTTGTTTGTCCGAAAATCATTTCAGATGTTACCACAGTCGAACTGAATTAACCTTAATTTCCTCACATGGTATGCTTGGGCTGCCTGTGCAACAAAACCCTTAATAGCAGATCGCCTTTTCTTACTTTCTCACGTTGTCAGAAACTCCCGTTTTACCTGATTTAATTTTTTTTGCCTGTTCTTTGATCCCTCTAGAGACTTAAAGAGTATGTCGTGCGACAGGTTATCGATAGGCAAAGGTTAGTATGTTTTTGTGCATGTTGATTCAAAAGAAAGGAGAAGAGATCTTTACCATATGATAAGTTGCAAGTTACTATTGGACATCATTTTTGTGCTTCTGGGCCGCCTATTTGCCTGTTGTTAACAGTCGTTTCCATTAAAACGGTCGATTCCACCATTGGTAACCAAGCCTTTAGTCATGATCGATGTAATATTTTCCCTGGATTAAGTTGCAAATAAGGCAGATAATACGTTTTTGAATAGTATTAGAAAGAAAGACGTTTAAAGCCCAAGTTTAATTTGCGTTACAAGTTATGAAAAGGTCTAGGGTCAACTGTTATTGATGTATCAGCTGAGAAAGAGAGAAAACGGGTACGAAAAGTCCGGATCAAGTTCTGGGCTCGACCTTGGGTTGCGATTCTTTTTTAACACAAACACTCTCAGTAACAGGTAAAAAATATGGTGGCGACCGTTTACGAAAGGGAAATTTACATCTGCGCTGCACACTCGCAAGTTTGTCGTGGACAAAATATAACTAGCACTTCACACGTTATCACTTTTACGGTCTTCGTAGCCTAATTTTCCCTCAGGCTTTGACAACCTGCGGTCCGTCTCATTTTGCAAACACGTGCGCAGATGATTTGTGGTTTAGAGGAGAATTATAATGCATAGCTAAAATGCAGGTTATTGTCTCTTCTGGAGTTAATGTCAAACTTTATTAATAAACCTAATTTTCATGAAAGAAGGGGGTGTTAGCCAAACTTTTAGTTACTTAGTGTCCAGTATATTTGTTCTCGTAGCAGGAAAGATGAGCTTTCGCCTTCACCGCTATTTATATGAATTGATAGCGTTGTTTATTGTTTTATCTTTTTCCTTTACAGCTGAGAATTCTCTAGGAATGGCGGCACAGTGAGCTGCTTCTCATACCAGTTTATCACAAGTTCATTTATTTCAGAAATACCAGGCGACCGTACATTTCTCCCCGTATCGGCAAGTTCATAGTCGGATCATTTTTCTGCCGAAATGTAATTTTCGAAAAGAGAATATGATTATCAAAGCAAAACAAAGGAAGAACGAACTTATGTACCTGTCGAAACACGCTAGGCGTATCCACCAGTTTAGTTTCTAAAAATAGCGACTTGGGAGCCCAGCTTCTGTAATTTAGAAGCTTCGATATTTCTTTCGTGGTCCCTTCCTGTTATTATACGGTTGAACCTCAATTAAGCGGCCACCCATGCACGGGGTCCCGACAAGGCTGCGTAATGGAAGTTAGCCGCTCAATAGAATCTCGTCATAAATTAACATAACCTTTAAGAAGCCACTTTCTTTTAAGCAGTCAGTAATCAAAGCCCCGAAATAATAGACTTTAGTATATACTAAAACAGTGGATAGTGTTTTTCGCCCGCTCTGATTGGCTACTCAATCAGTGACTATCCTGCACTATTCACTGATTCACCTCCAGTTCCTCCGAGCGAGCAACGCCAAACTCGCGTAAGTTGCGAGCAAAATGCCTTCCCGGTTTGCTGCCGTAAACAAACAAAGAAATTTCACAACTAATCAAGCAAGCTGTTTCCGAAATACACGAAGAAGGTGACGAAATTCGGATTGGAAGTTTTAACAGGTAAAGCTTTGTCTTTTTGACACGAATTTATCGATAAAACCGGTGAAAAAGTTTTTGTTTACAAATGCAAATTAAATTTAAGTCTTGCTTACTTTATTTAGTTGAGTTGTTCATAAATAAGCTTAAAACTAAATTTAATGATCTTTTTTTATAGAATGATTTTAAATACAAAAAGAATTCACAACTCCTTTTGAAGAAATTTCCCCGCAAGAGCTAAACAAATGCCTTCAAAAGTTTTAATTGTCGGCAAGAAAAAGCGACGGCCGCAGCCGCCTGGTCATTA